TCTCTCATTAAACATCCAAGCATCATTGACAGGATGCATAAGGTCTAAGTTTACCATATTATGCTGTTACCTGTTTGAGAGTAGAGAAGTGTAATCCTTACTTAATTTAGAATGTATCTCAGCTGCAGGTGGGATTTCAGGAAGATTTGAAAGATAATAATGGAGCAGAATATGGAATGGAATAGGGCAAAATGAAATTGGATAGTGGAGAGTTAGTTTAGAGTTTTAGAAGTTGTAAAGAATTAAAAAGGTTAAATAGTCTAGAGAAAACTAATAGATATGGAAGTTGTGATCTGTTTTCAGCTTAACTATTTTTCTTTGTTATATGGGAGAGGTTGCAGGGATTGGGGTCAGAACAGGTCAATCTTAGTAATTGACTCTGATGTGAAAAGCAAAAATATCAAAATGATTATTTTCAAAAACATAAAATTAATCAAATATTTCCTACAGTCTTAGTTAAGTTCACATAAGAGAAGCATTTTTTGGTTATTTAAGTAGCTTTGCTGAATGGTAGAAAACTACATAGCTTTTTTTGTAAGTCTAACACTGGAATGATTTGTTTGCTCTTTTAAGTGTTAACATTACTCCTTGAATTCAATGTTAATTAAGAATATAAATTGATTACATATCTTTCACAGCTATGGGTAGAGGATGATTTATTGACTAAACAAAGGATAGAGACAATTACAAAAGACATAATAGATAATTCTTATTACATTAAATGGAAAAGCTTTTTCATGAACAAAATTAACTCATCTTAATAAGAATGGAAGCTTTTGAATGAGAAAAAAATCTTTTTTTAATTTTTTTTTTTTTTTAGGCAATTGGGGTTAAGTGACTTGCCCAGGGTCACACAGCTACTAAATGTCAAGTGTTTGGTCTGAGGCCAAATTTGAACTCAGGTCCTTCTGACTCCAGGGCCTATGCTTCATCCACTGTGCCACCTAGCTGCCCCTGGAAAAAAATCTTTCTGTCATTTATCTCTAAGTGTTTACTGTTCAAGACATGATGACAACTAGCATATATAATAACAAAAACCATTTTCCTATAGATAAATGATCAAAAGATATGAACAAAGTTCTCAAAAAGAGAAATTGCAAATGATTAACAATTATAATGAAAGAACACTCCAAATAACTAATAATCAAAACACCCAGTAAATGGCAAAGACGACAAAACATTGGAATTGTGCTGGAGTGGTTGTGGAAAAATAGGCCCACTAATGCAATGATGATGGAATTGCGACTGGGCCTAACCATTCTGGAAAGCAATTTGGAATAATGGGGAAAAAAATTAAATGGTTCATAATCTTTTACCCAGAGATTCCACTGCTAGGCTTATTGTCTGCCAAAAGGTCATTGATAAAAAGAAAAGCTCTATATGTTCTGAAATATTTATAACAGCAGTTTTTGTGGTAGCAAAAAACTAGAAACAAAGATACCCATTGATTAGGAAATGGCTAAACACATTGTATTATGTGGATGTAACTGAATGTTACTGTGCTATAAGAAACAACAAAGATGATGAACATAGAGAGTCATGGAAGGACTTACATGAATAGATACAATGTAAAGTAAATATCCAAGAAAATCAATATAAACTACATGACTATGACATTGTAAATAGAAATATCAACTACTACAGCAAAATCAAAATTGAATGCTGCAGAATTACAAAGAACATGCCAGCCAGCAAAGAAAAGATATGAAGAGACATCTCCCTCTACTGCTTTGCAGATGTTGGGGTCCATAGTGTTAAACATTGTGTCAGCTCTTTCCTTTTGTTTATTGGTTTTATATATTTTTTGTCTTTATTCCAACCCTTTAAAAATTTATAGAGAATAAATAATTCTATGAGAGGGGGAAGGGTCAGAGTTATGCAGAAGGAAATATAGATGAAACAATAAGAAAAAATGCAACTACAAATGTTTTCAGAAGAAAATAAGTTTTAATTTTTTTTACAGGTATATAGATTGAGGCCTGTTTTCCCTCTTTATTTCTTCCCTTTGCAAATATAAGTGGATAAATTATAAAACGATCTCAGCTACTTAGGTAAATAAATAAAAGTAGGACTGGTGAAATAGTCTATAGAAGTTCTATAATCTATATAACTTTAAAATTAAAATGTGGTATTACACATCACTTTACATATCTATGGGTTTTAGTAGACATAGGAAATTGACATTTGATTCCTAAAGGAAGAATCCCTGGTGTAGGTGTTGATTATATAAGGCAGAAGAGTCAAACATGCAGCTGGGTGAAGCCAAACTGGAGTAATTTGTAATTGGAAATATTTAAAAATAAAATAAAACGTAGATAATATTAACATGTGTTTTTTTAAATTAATTAATTTACTTTTAGTTTTCAACATTCAGTTCCATAAGCTTTTGAGTTTTAAATTTTCTCCCCCTCCTTTTCTACCTCCCTTCCCAAGATGGCGTGCAGTGTGATATAGGCTCTACATATACATTCCCATTAAACATTTTCACATTAGTCATAACATGATTTTCTAAGTAAATATGTGGCTACAGAGATTGTTATGTACTGTTTAGTAGTTTCTAGAGTTTGACACCACTGATGTAAGGATTCTAATTTAAATTATCCTCATCAAAATAAACAAATAGATAAATAAATTATCCTCATCTGTATCTCTTAGGACATTTTCCCAGATAGTAATGTGTGTTTGTGTTTGTGTGTGTGTATTTTTTCTTTCTAAAATGTGCCACATTTCAGACCCTAGTAGTTTTATATGATTTATCAAAAATGTAGAAAAGCTGTTTAGCTTAGAGTGAGGCCCAATACGCTCTTTGGGTTTCTTTCTCTGGGAGATGGAAATGAGGAGTAAACTCAATTGGTACATTTCATCTAGGCAGTACTAGCAGCTAGATCCCAGAAGCTCTGTGAGTGCAATTTTTGGTCTCTGGACCAGCATGAATCATGACCAGGACTGATGCAAACACCCATCCTCATGCATCACAGAAGTGGAATCAGGGGAAGAGACCTGGAATCAAATACAGTGTGGGTAATCGAGTCCCAATATTTCCCCCCCCCATCTAAGATTCAACCATTCTTTCATAGAATCATGGTTTTGGAGCTGGAAAGAATCTTATAGGTCTTCTGGTCCAACTCCCTCATTTTACATATGAGGAAACTGAGGCCCCAATAGATAAAATGTTTTGGCCACCACACAGGTAAAAATAAGTGACAAGCTGAGACTTGATCACAAGTCTGCTGATTTGAAATCTAGTTTGATTTACACTGTTCTACAATGCCTCTACTTTGCCCATGTGAACCACTGATTCTCACCACATATTTATGTGTGGAATGCTGTGATCTAAGAGAGATTAGTCCCATAGTATGGCTCTTTTAAATATCCTGGCAGAAATTCTGGTACAGTTAGTTGCCTCTAACCATTTATTTCCCTTAACCTTTGTACTATGTATACCATAATCTCCCTACTCCTTCAAGTGCCCTCTTCTCCCCTAATTGGTGATCTAGTATTGGTCCAACTCCTTGCTTTTTGCACAAATAAATTTATACAATGTTCCTTACAAGTAGCCCTTTAGCTTTTGTTTAAACACTTTCAGTGACAGGGAATCCTAACTGGGTATCCCCTTTCATTTGGGGCATCTCTCATTGGTAGTAAAAAGTTCCTTTTATAGAGCCAAAAATACCCCTCTCTGTATCTTCTACTCTTTGATGCTAATTCTTTACCAAGATATTATGCAGAAGAAATATTTTTTTTTTTGTTTTGTTTTTGGCTAGGCAGTGGGGTTAAGTGACTTGCCCAGGGTCACACAGCTAGTAAGTGTCAAGTGTCTGAGGCTAGATTTGAACTCACGTCCTTCTGACTCCAGGGTCAATACTCTATCCACTGCACCACCTAGCTGCCCCCTTTCCCAGTTTTGTTTTGTTTTTTCTTGCAGAAGAAATCTTTTAGACTGAAAAGATTGCTTATCCCCTCTATAATATTTAAATAATTTTAACAGTGCCAGTTGAACTCAAGCAAGTTATTCTGTGACTATTCTGGTTAGATATTGGTATCTCTGATCCAGCTTCATTTCAGGTATTTTGCGTAAAATTAGCCAAAGTTTACATTAAAAATGAAATTTTGAGTTTGTCAAAAGGTCACCTGAAAAGTCAAAGAACTATAAAAGCTAGGTAAAGAAGTTTGTAGTTTTATATTCTTCACAACTGAAAATTTAAAAATAACATTTTAGATTATATATTATTTAAAAAAAGAAAAATGTTTTAGTTTTAATTTTTGTTTTTAAAACAACCCACAGCATTTTAGTACGTTTACTTGCATTTAGTCTGCTGTTAGATGGCACTACAAATTAGAATTATATCAGATTTGCTCATTTGTTTCTTAGTGGTTCAAAAAACGTGGCACTTTTCCCAGTTTGAACTAAGAATCGAGCAATGTATTCAGTCTAAGTAGCATGAGAAGCTAAAGGTGAAATTATAATAAACTTTATTTTGCTCAGAAGATGCTTCCAGAAAAATGTCAACATACCAATATTTGAGCAGTAGGAATTTTTTCTAAAGAGTGTTATTTGCTCTCAAAGCCTAAAAATCTTATTAATGTCAATCAGTACCAGATGACTTTGACACTTATCAGTGGTATTAAATTGGTTAAGGAATGGGCTCAGAAATATTGAAATTTGCCTTTGAAAAGGTCATTGAGTAACTCACTTAGGCTGCTTGTGAATTAGGTTAATTAATTCCCTTAGCCTGACACACCATCATAAGGATTAAATAGCCCATTTTCTGTTTGTATTGTTTTCCGTTAATAACAATAGGTTTGTTGCCTCTTATCTCTTTGCTTTTGTTAAAAACTGTGAAAAATCCACAAGGAAAAGAAAGATTCCTTTCTTATTTTTTATTTACACAGAAATGTTTATCTTTGGATCAATAAGAATATTTGACACTTTAGAACTGAAAAATATATTGAAAAATTGATAATTCTTTTTCTGCCTTTGTTATTTGTTATTCTTCCAGAACATGGACACTCTGTGGGACACCAGAATACCTTGCTCCAGAAGTCATCCAAAGTAAAGGTCATGGAAGAGCAGTAGACTGGTGGGCTCTGGGGATTCTGATATTTGAGATGCTGTCTGGGTAAGAGCTTCTTTATAGGTCAGAATTCAGCATCTTTATAAACATTTTTCTCCTTCTTTCTTATATCAGATGTATGAAGAGAGTCATTGGAGCCCTGAGAAGTTAAGTGACTTGCCTAGAGTGACAGGGCTAATATGTATCAGAGGTGGACTTGAACCCAGGGCTTTGGTTCTGAAGCCAACTCTCCATCCACTGTAGCACATTGTTTCTTCCTATATAGCTACTGTTTTCGAAAGTATGAAGACTATTCATGAACTTCAAGTAGTTCAAAAGATCTTTGATTTCACTGGTATGAAATTATCCTCTACAGACCTATGTAGATGAGAACTCCTTGCTGTCTTAGTAGATAATCTTCATGATTTACTGTTACCCATCCCACCCTGACCCTTATTCTCCTTCTCCCTCCCCCCAATATATCATTTAGTGGCCAGCCTTCTGATAATGAGCCTCTGTGTGCTTAGCAGTGTTGCCCCTCAGTCAGCTTGTATACAGTTATAGAGATGGGGCCCCATTTCAGGTTTTCTGTGATGGAGGAGAAAGACTATTAGACTTGAAATTAAGAGATATCTGATTTCAAATCCCACATCTGATATCTGCTGGCTGTATAACAGTGGACAAGACACTAAACCTCTCTGAACCCCAGGGTCTTTATCTGTAAAATGGGAATGACTTGGGAGTTAGGAAGACCTTGTTTCTAATCCTTCCTCCATCATTTACTAGCTGTGTGACCTGGTGCAAGTCATTTAATCTGTCTGTGTCTCAGTTTCCTCATTTATACAGTGGCAGGGTTAAACTTAATGGCTTGTAAGGTCCTTTCCAGCTCTGAATATGTGATCTTATGCAATTTATCTGATTTTTTTCTAGCAGTTGTTAATAGTATTCTACTATTTGTAGACTATACCACTCATATGTTATCTTCCTAAGCCTTTCATTTCTGATATTTTATATAGGGAATTTCTTCAATTTCTGGCTTGTTTCATGGAATACATATAGCGCTCACTGAAAAAGATCTCTGAAAGACAATAACTAAAAATAGTCTTTAATGGAGAAAAATCTAAGAGACATTTTTTGTCCTTTGAAATTTCAATAGGGCTTTGCAACAGAATCACCTAAAAAAAAAGAAATAGTGAATTCTTCTGAAAGAGCCACTAGTTTAAAAACTTAGCTCTTTTTTTGTGAAATGACAAGTAGATTTCTTTTCTTCATTTATAATATTCCACAGATAGTCTCTCAGACCTCTATCTTTGGTAATATGTTTCAGCACAAGGTGGCAGCATTTTCTGTAGATTAATTTGCACTCATGGATCATGCTTTTGATCTTCAATAAGGTTATAAGATCTTTGAATTTTAGAACTGGTCCAGACCACTTATTTTAGAAAAGAAACTGAGCCCCAGAGAAGTGCAAATAAAGATTTTTTTGTCCTTTGGTGTGATTAATAAAAGCAATGAATTAAAGGTCATTCATACTTAGGATTTTATAATATCTCATATCTTAAAGGTTTTTTTTGTATTTCAGCAAAAAAATTATAAAGCAAATAAAATACCTTTCTTACTGCTGCTAAAATAAATATGTTTAAAGAAGATCTGGAATTTTTGCTTTCTTATATTTTTATAACAAGGCTCAATGCCTGCACTACCTAAGTAAGCTATGTCTTTTTTCCTAAGTCAAAGAATAGTCTCTTTAGAAGAAGGGAATCAATCAATCAATCAGTCATAGGAGATACTATGATTTAGAGCTATAAGGTACTGTAAGATTACCTCTTCCAATCCCCTCATTTTAGAGATGAGAAACCTCAAGCTCAATGATGTTAAATGATTTGCCAACGTCATATACTGGTAAATAACTGGGCTGGTTTTCTGACTTCAGATACTGTGCTCCTTTGGTCACACCATATTATTATTATCCCATTTTTATTAAGCATTTCTTATATGGAAGGCACTGTGTTGTGCCATACATCCTTATGTCTACATTTATTCATGTTAACCTCTCTCTCTTATTAGTAGTGATTATCAAGAATGACTTAAAAAAATCATCCTACTCCTTTAAAGGATAATTGAAATTTAGTATAAGAAACCATTCATTAAGCTATTATAACTAAATTATGTCATAGCTAAGCCTTTTTTTTTTTCCTTCTTACTGTCAAGGACTTTAAGTTAGATTTAAAATTCAGAGGAAATAATGCTAATGACAAGCATCTGAGCGTTCTATTTCTAGGAGAGGTCTTCTGCTTCCTTTAATCACTGTGTATCATTTTCTGACCTTATCTTTCTTAATTTACTTAGTAATTTAAGATGTTAGCTTAATGAGATTACTTCCAATATCTCTCAATATAATACATTTCTCTATGGTAAATTGTTTGTAAAGCAGTTTGGTTTTTCATTGCTTATGGTAAAATGATTTTAGATATGCTGCAGTTTGGTGACTAAAAATGCCAGTATTTCACAGTGTTATTTCTTAAGTATCCAGCATAGTATTATTTGTCAGTAAGTACTTGTTGACTATTGTTACTACTTCTGCCATGATTACCAGTCTTTCCTTTGGTATAAAAAATTTCCACTTCCTGTTTCAACTGCTGCTAAAATATTTTTCCAATAATACTCTCATGGAATCTCTTGCTTACCAAGAATGCTTTCAGGTATGACAAACTTTCTCCTAGAGTTTAATGCCCTGTTTCTTAAATTGTTATGTTTCCACTATGTATTATTACATGTGAATGCATTCAAAATAGAACCATAGCCCTAGTTTGGTTACTAAATAAGAAAGGGAAATATTCATTCTAATACCATTAGGGAAAATTTCTTGCATATATCAAAGGAATGGATAGGCATTTAATTATTCCATGAGGTGCTAATTACATAAGATTGTGGTCATTAATGCCTGGAAAAGGAAACATTGAGACTGGAAACAAGTGTGATTTCACTACCTCAATACCATCCCAACTACACTGCCCCTCCCACTTTTTAAAAAGCATATGCTGTTTTATGCATTGAAAATTTAAGGAGGACAAAGAACATATTTAATTTTATTCATATCATATGCATTTGCATTTTTAAAAAATATTGTTTTTCTAAATTTACATTTTCTTATCAAGTTTGTCTTCCCTCTACGATAATTAAAAAAGCAAAAACAAAAACAAAACAATCCTGCTAAGCTTATTTCCAGATTTCTTATTTCATTATTTCCTGTTTTTAGTACTGCAGTTCTTGGTTCTTTTATTTTTTTCTACTGTCGTAGCCCTGAAATTTTTCTCAAGACATATATTATACATTTAGGGTTGAAAGGAACTTTAGAAAATATCTAGTCCAATAACTTCTTAATTTTACACATGAGGAAACTGAGACCCAGAGAGGTTAAGTGATTTAACCTGCTTAATGATGAAGCTGGGACACTGATTCTTTTATCTAGTGCCAAAAGAACATTCCTCATTGAGCCTGGAGTTTTTGCCTTATTTTGTGGCACACTGACATTAAATCTGGATTGGGGCTAGGAGGTGGAAATTAGGGCAGGAAACAGCTATTTTGTAGAATATTTCTCTTCCTTAATCCTTGATTGTATCGGATACTTAGCCAAATTCCATTGTCACTAAGGGCCTTTGCCCTTTTCTAATAACCCTTAGTGGATGACTAAGATATGAAACTGATATGACTGACAAAATTATTTTAGGAGATCATCTAGAAATTGCTGTTTGCAATTTTAATTCTGTCCCTCTAGTTTTTCAGTTTTTTTTCCCCACAAATCTCAATTGCTAATTGCAAACAATAATAATGGAATGGTACATATTCCCTCCTGTTCTTGAAAATTGTCTTTATAAGGATTTCTTCTGAACGTACCATGAGTGTAGAGGTGCTCTACAAATCTGAAGTATATTATTCTCAGCCCAGTTCTTGCTTCTCTTGCCATTTTACTTTTTAGTTCTTTGCTCCACAGTAACATGAGCATGGTACCAGCTTGCCTGCCTGATCTCATGTGATCATGGAGTCCAGTGTGGTCAGCAGAACTGTTGTGGAACTGCAACCAAACATTTATGAGAGAGCCTGAACTCTGCTAGCCAACTCCAAGTTCCTGGGCATGAGCCACTCACTACCTGATGACTGGAAATTTCAAAGTCAGCCCTTTACACTGCCTACTTCTTTTCCTTCTCACTATGTCATTAGAAGTGGTGTAGAGGGTTTTGGCATACTTCTCTTCCATCTCCAAAGATGAGGTCTCAGTGGCTTTATATGTCATGACATTCCATGCCACTGTTATATTTGTATACCATAGGGACCTTTGTATACCTGGACCTTAGCTCATTGCTTGAAACAAGGCCAAGCACAGAGTACAGACGGTGTTCTCCTGTTTGTTAAGAGCCATGTGTAAAACAGCTTGCACTGTGGAATACCATGTGTTCTGCAAAAAAAGAGCTTGACAGACAAAAGAATGCTGTAACCCTCTCAGGGTTTTCAAAGCTTCATCTCTTAAGTTTCCTTTGCTTTTCAGGGTCTTTGGGGGAGAAAAATAAGAATGGCAATGGCAATAACAATAATATGATTAGCATTTTTGTGGTGCCTACTATGTACCAGGCACCATCTTAAAGTTTTATAAATCGTATTTGGTCTTCTTTACAACCTTGGGATGTAGGTGCTATTCTTATCCCCATTTTACAATTGAGGAAACTGAGACAGATAGGAGTTAAGTTATTTTTCCATGGTTACACATTAAAGCAGCTGAAGCTGGATTTGAATTTGTCTTTTTGACTCCGGACCCAATAAACTGTCTAGGCTGTCTGTTATGTAGCACTTGGCTGACAGTTAGTTTTTAACTTTTGCAAAATGCTTTACGTACATTATTTTATTTGATGTTTGTAATGGTGAGGTAGGTGGTGGTGTTATCTCCGTAGTACAGATGAGACAATTGAGAATCAGACACGCGCCATCTACTGTTACAATAGCTAATGTCGGAGATGGGATATGAACCTAGATCCTTATTTAGGATCAAAGTTCAGCCTTCTTCCCCCTACACAGAAAATGATAAAGTCTTGACATTTATATTATAAACTCCTGAAGAAAAGGAGTTTTCTCACTTTTAGTTTTATCCCTAGTTTTTAGTATATTTGTATCCCCTAGTGCCAAAGACAGAGTAGGTGTTTAATAAATGCTTTTAAATTGATTATATTATTTGCATCTTGAATGTGTCTCATGTTTCCTTCCTTCTTCCCAACTCTCATCTAACATCAAAGAAGGGGATGTCATAGAATCAAGAGCCACAAGAACTTTAGATGTCATTTAGGCCAACCTCCAAACATCCTCCTAGAAAGTTGCAGAGCTAGATTTCAAAACCCAACTTCTGTGACTCAAAACCAGCTCACTTCCACTGCAAGCTTGTTGCTTCTTACAGCACATACAGGCATGCTTTAGATAAAAGCTACTACCATATTAGCCTGGTTAGGTCAGGACTTCAGCCTGTTTACAAAGACTATTCATTGCAATGTTTGTATGGGATGGAACCGCCACCTTGTGGGCACTATTGAGTACAACAGTATTCAACTCATCATAATTTATGTGAAAGTTTACCTCCCAGTTTCTATATCCCTACCATATTTATGCTCCAATTTATGCATATTGAGATGGCTAAAAAAATTTTCCCTTCCCTGCCCTCCTTTCTTTCCCATGGCTTCTTCAAATCCATTGGTTGAGACAGCTGTTGAAACAATTTCTAGTGACAGACGAGGATGGACTTCAGAGACCAGAGGAGCAAATACTGTCCAACCTCTCCAATTCACCATACTCTCTAAATCCTGCATTCATATTCATCTGGCCCTTAAATAATTTTCTTCATTCTCCTCTGGTTCTTATGCTAGGTTTTCAGTGATATCAGAGCTTTATTCCTAACCTGTGTCCTACCCTAATCTTCACTCTAGAGCATGTGCTGTAGTTTTGGACTCTGATCCCTAGAGCTCCCATGATTGTCTTGCAGCAACCTCTTGAAGCCCCTGCCCTAGGCTACAGTAGCTGACACCATATGGCTTATTCCTTGGGTGTGGAAGGAAAGCAGTCTAGCTGCCCAGCAGATGGGGAAAGGATACGTGTATGTCTGTGTACTATTCAGTCAGCCAGCCTTGTGAACCAAAACCTTTCTCATCCTGTGAGATTCTCAACTCTTTCACATAAACCCTTCCTAAAGGATTTATCTGTTTCATGTGCTAGATGTCCTTTTTCTTTTTAAAATTTATTAAGATCATAGAATTAGAGCTTAAAGATCATCTAGTACAGCCCCCATCATTTTACAATTTGATTTTTTAAAAAGAAATTTGTATTACTATCTCCTTTTGTTTTTATATCAACTAAATTTTTCCATGTATTTCTCCTCTTTCCATTTTCAGAGACTTTATTCCTTATAACCAAGAACTTTTTAAAGAAAAAAAAAGAAAAATTAGCAAAACTAATTAATAATCAAAAAATCTGACAATATATTCAATGCTCTACAACTATGGACCTCTTCTTCTTCTCCCTCCCTTTCCCCACAAAGGAAATAAAGTATCTTTTCATATCTCTTCTTTCAGGGGTCTAGCTTGTATTTTTTAGGCTTACAGCATTCATTTTATATTGTTTTGTGATTATCGCTCTTTTCATTTACATTGTCTAGTAGACATTGTGTGTAGTTTTTTGGCTCTGCTTACTTCACTTTGCATCTATTCATGTAAGTCTTTCCTTGCTTCTGTATTCCTTAAATTCTGATGCCCACATGAATGAAATGACTATTTCCAAGATTATCACCAAGTCAAGTCAACATGCATTTATTAAAAGCTTACTATATGTGAGGCACTGTTGTTAAGAAGTAGGGAAGCAGAGAAAAGTAAAAACAGTCCTTGTCCTCTGGGATCCCACATTCTAGTGGGGGAGACAACATATTAAATAACTACGTATATACAAGATATATACGGAGTAAATTGGGGGGTAATCTCAGGGAAGGCATCCAATAGTCTTTTTTCAGTTCACATTCTACTTTACCTTTTAGCAGTTTGTAACCCTGCTGACCACTCCCTACTCCCATCTTTCTGACCCTTTCTTTCTCAGATTCCTCGGTTAAATCACCCAACCCTTTCAACTATTAGGAGTGGCTATCGCCCAACACTGGGTCCTGGCCTGAAATTCCAAGGGTCTTCCCCTCCCATATTTATTCTTTTGTGAAGACAAAGTAGGATATTTTTTGCCTCAATTCTAGGACATTTCTTCAGGCAAGCTGAGATCTGTCCTATATATTTAATCTTCTGAATTAAAAAACAGTGTTCTGAGAAGGGGTCCCTAGATTTCATTAGACTGCCAAAGCGGTGCATGATTAAGTGCCCTGGGTCTAGATGAAGGCCACTGTAGTCTCTTTCATTTTTAAATTCTATAACCCTTTCTTTATTAAGGTAACCCTAAAATGTTCCCAGTTTTGATGAACATTGTTCCTCCTTAAGTTGGGTACTGCCTATGTCTAAAACCTATTAATATTTCAGCCTTTCTTGCAGCTGGTAATTGTATAATGGATAGCTAAGGAATTGGCCAAAGACAGATTAAAAAAAAAAAAATTATGCAGCTCATCTCTAATCTGAAGTGGCCTTAAGCTAGGTAGATTCTTTCCATCAAACTCAGCATACCCAAAATGGAATTTGTTTTCTATTTGCACCTTTTCCTAGCATCCCTTTTTCTGTTAAAGATGCCACCATCCTTCTACTCACCTAGGTTTGAAACCTCAGAGTCATCCTGTACTCTTAATTTTTCCTCATTTCCCATGTCTAATCAGTAGCCAAATCTTTTTTTTTATCACTTTTTAAAAAAAAATTGTTAGGCAATTGGAGTTAAGTGACTTGCCCAGGGTCACACAGCTAGTAAGTGTCAAGTGTTTAGTCTGAGGCTGGATTTGAACTTGGGTCCTCCTGACTTCAGGGACTGTACTGTATCCGCTGCACCACCTAGCTGCCTCACAGTTGCCAAATCTTGTCAATTATACCTTCACATCTTTCATATCTGTTCTCACCACTCTGATTCAGGCCCTCATCACTACTCACCTATACTATTTCAAAAGCCTTTTAAATATTCTCCCTGTTTGCATTATTTCTCCTCTCCAATCAACTAAAAAGTATTTACAGCTATGAAAAATGAAATAATCCCTACTTGCAAGAAGCTTACATTCTAATGAGACACATAACACATATGTAATATGAATATATGTGAAATAAATGTAAAAAGAATAAATACAAAGTAGTTAAATAAAATGCAAAATAATAAAAGTTTGTAAGGGAGAATACTAGAGTTTGGGGTGCTAGAGTAATTGGGGAAGGTTATATATAGAAAGTAGTACCCGAGCTAAATCTTTTAGGAAAGGAAAGATTTCTGTAAGGCAGAGGTAAGGAGGCAGTACATTTCAGATATGGACCATGTCCATTGGAAGGCATGGAGAGAAGAGGTAGAATGTTAAGTGTGAGTTGCAAATAGAAGTCCAGTTTGGCTGGATTGCAGAGGAAGGAAGTAGAGTAATGTGCAATGAAAAGAGAAAGATAAGTTGAGGCCAGATTGTAGAAGACTTTTAAAAATTAAACAGAAGGATTTTTTTCCCCTATAGGCAGTAAGGAACTACAGCAGTTGATTGGGTAGAGTCGATGTATGATCATGTAAAAGAAAACTACTTTGACAACATTGTAGAGGATAGATTAGAGTGGGAAGAGACTTGAGGCAGGAAGATCAATTAGGAGGCTGTTATAATAATTTAGGTAAAAGATGATGAGGTTCTAAACTAATGATTGATCTTCCAGATCCTAATGTACATTCCCCTGTTAAGTTCAGTGGCTCTGTACGGCCTCTAAAGTAAAATCCAAATGCCTATATTTGGCCTCTTTGTAATCTTGACTCCAATCTAGTTTTCCATCCTTATTTCATATTACTCCCCTCACACACTATCTCGTATATTGACCTCCTTGCTGTTCTCACAATACTACATTCCATTTCTATCCTCTTCTATCCTCCTCTTAAAACAGTCTCTTCCCTTAATTCTGCCTTGTATAACATCTAGCTTCTATAGCTTAGGTGCCACCTTCTGCATAAGACTTATATGGATTTCCCTTCCCCACCTCCCACCCCAAACTGCTTTGAATATATCTTGCTTTTACTTATCTGTGTATTCTTTGTTCACCCTCAATAGCTCCTTGAGGTCAGGGACTACTTCACTTCTGTCTTAGTATCCTCAGTGCTTAACACAGTCTTGGTATATCATTGGTACTTAAAAACTTGGTTTTTGAATTGAATGAAACTATTTAGACCATTTTTCAGTGCTATCTTTTCTGTGTATTTTGCCAACTAGAGACAACCATTTGCAGCACTTCTTGAGATATAGATGATTTCAGTATGTGATGAAAGAATGCATGTGAAATAAATTACTTCCTTGCTGTTTTAGGCAAAAATAATAATCACTATGAAATAGTCATTTTTCTGTACTCTTTTCTAATCTAAAAATAGTTATTTATTTATTTATTTTTAACAGGTTTCCTCCATTTTTTGATGACAACCCATTTGGCATCTATCAAAAAATTCTTGCAGGCAAAATAGATTTCCCCAGGCATTTGGATCTCTATGTAAAGTAAGTAAATTGGCTCCTTTGTCATTGGCTTGTTTATTTTAAGAGCCTCCTAATTAAAATCACAGTTAAAGCATATGTATGACAGGATACCATATTGCAGCATCATATGTGCTATATTCAAAAATATCTGGAAAGTCATCTTTTCCACACCAGAGAAATGTTTTTAATTATTCAGTTTAATGAAGTGTAACAATTTAATGATCTATCATGTTTTATTTTTTGCACTTCAGTTTTGCCTGAAGTCTACCAAACAAAGGTATTTAATACACTATCAAATAAGCAAGTACAGGTGTTGGTATAACATTAATGAATTTTCTTAACAGTTGTATCACTGGCAATATTGTTGATAGGTTCAACAGTTCTTGTCTACTTATATTACATTTGTACTTTAAATATCCTTGTGATACAAATATTTTGTGTGTTAACAACATTAAATGTTGGCATTTGTATGAAAATTGGAATGGTGGGTATTTGTTATATCTCCCTCATATGTCTTTAAATTTGTAATAATTTAAAAATAGAGTGATGTCTAATTCTATTCCTCTCTTATTGAACCCCTTGCCTCCCAAACTGCTACCAACCTTCTTGAGATTTATCTTTTAGATAGTGTAGGACACTAATGATGATTTCTTGTTTTCTTTGCCTCTGTGTCTTAAAGGATTCAGTGGTATTCTGGCTACATTGGTATTCATAAAATGAATATAAAACTGGATTAAACTGTAGCAAAACTGAGGATTTCCTCCCCCCTCCCCCTTAAGGGGAAAAAATGTTGAAATGGCCTGTGGAAATTAACTATAGAAAAAATATTTTTCATGAGTAAGGGCCGGGTTGGGATGACTTTACAAACTCTGTGCTTTTCAAGGACTCCTTCCAGCATTGTTAAGGTTAGTCATTTTCATGAGGGTGAATATTTCTAAGCCCTCAAACCTGGAGCATGAAGTTCTCCATCTGCACATCAGGTAGAGTGTTTTCCAGGGGTTGTGTAAGCTTGTTCCATACTCCTCTGGCCCTGGGCTCCATCCGAAAAAAATAAGTCATGTTTCAAAGGCTTTAGCATTTAATGAGGACTTGCTTTAAAAAGGGGAGAAAAAAAGCAAAGAAAAAATTTCTTGTCCTGGAAAAACAATAAAAAAGGGGGAAATCCAGCTAATGTAAGGTAATCCCATTAGTTAGGGATACAGGGAAAAGGTTCACTATTCCTCTTAGTATGATCTCTTTTCTGCCAAAAATGACACTTTTGAGTCTTTGCTGTTTGTGAAATCTTACTTTGCAAATGAATAGAATATATATTTGCTTTGAAAATAAAATAAAAATATGATATGGAAAAATTTTTACATTTTGTATATGTATTATATATATATGTACATGTGTATACACACACGTGATATATTTGAAAGAGTTAAAAATAGACAACATACTGATGGCTAAATTTATGGATACCAGTCATCTCTGGCTACTTCCAGATTCTTCCTGACAACTGGTTTGAGGCAAAAAGATATTTAGCTGGTGGGTGAGCAGCTGTTGTCTTAGCCAATATGTATGTTGGCAGAGTGTGTGCCAGAAAGGATATGTTTTTATACATGCTTTAGATTTTTCTGTTGGAAAATATGCTTTGAGTTGCATGGGATGAGACCAGACCAGAAATTTAAATTTTCTACTATATTCCTGTTGCTAGCATCTCCTATTTCATTGAATCATAAATCTGTAAAATAAGTCAAGTATCTTGCAAAAATAATTTTTTCTACACCTTTGACTTGTTTTTCATCTTTTACCTTTGTCTAGACTCCATGGTGTTGTGGAGGTTTTATCATTATAAATGAAAATCTTCTACTTTAGTACAGTTTAGAAACTGTAAATGACCAAGAATTGTTTTATGAGCACATCTTTTGAACACTACACATGAATGAGTACAATTTTTTTGCCTATCAATAAGTACTGTACCAATGCTAGCTTGAAGAATTCATTTGGAGTTTATTAAGTACATATTTATTTAGTATTCAAAGAAGTTAGTGAATTTGTTTTTGTATTTATAAGATTTGTACCTGAAAAAAGTTCCTTAAATTAAAAAAAAATTACTGTATTTTTGTTTATTCCTCTAACTTTTCCTAATGAACAACCAAAAAAGGTAATACCCTCCCTTTTCCCTCACAGTTCTTTGAGTGATAAGTAGCTTTTACAGAACCCTAAATGTGTGCTTTTCCTCAAAAGCCATAGTCTTAGTATTTCATTTTTTAGCTGACATCTCTCCCCTTTCTCCATATCACTGGCATAGCTCCTAAATGGACACACTTATTAGAAAGGCTTATACAGTGACTAGCATTGTCGTCCGGTTGTCTCATATTCTCTTTATTCTCCATCTGTATCTAAACCTCTCAGTGTTATGCTTACTCTTGTATTGAGACTTCCGAATATATGGGGTTTTCTGAGAGTGGTGGCTTAAGGGGTCCAAGGTAACGGTGATAAAACTCAAGGCATTTTAAATGGCTCCAGGCCTCACTTGAATTTGAACAGATATCCCTTCCCTCTCTTCCCCCCAACACACACACACACACACACACACACACACTTTAATCTCTCTTCCAGCTCTCTCCATTGATCTGGATGTTTATCTGATGATCAAGCACCTGTGGACTTGTTCCAGTCCTAGCTACTCACAAATAGAGCACAGATGACCACAGGATTTTTGGTTCTCTCTTTCTAAGTCATATAATTCAAATTGGCCACATGACTTAAATATTTCTGTATAAATTGAGGAATTGTAAACTCTGCACCTGGTTAGACATGAAGATGATCCTGAGGGATTGGCTGCTCCATTATAGTTATTTTTTCCCCAAACCTCCCAAACTACTTATAAATTGATGTTAATTTAATGACTGCACTGGCTAGCATCTAGTACCAGTCTCAGGCATTTAAGACCAAAGAGTGTATATGTGTGTGTGTGTGTGTGTGTGTGTGTGTGTGTGATTCATATGAATCACACTCAAGGCATTTTAAATGGCTCCAGGCCTCATTTGGAATTGAACAGATACCCCTTCCATCTCTTCCCCTCAACACACACACACACACACACACACACACACACACACACACACACACA